TTCACTTCAGTGGTTAAACGTTAAGCAGAGGATTTTCCTGCGAACGATGGTGTTGGTCTACAAAATTCTAAATAATCTTGAGCCAGCCTACTTTAATGATTGTATTGTTCATTATAGCAAAATTCACCAGTAAGAAACTAGAAATAACAGTTTACTATATCTTTGTAGAGCTAATAGAACCAGTACAAGGTACTCTCTCTTTTTTAGAGACTTTCATAGTTTCAATCAACTTCCTGATATTATTAAAAAATAGTAATTCTGTAAATAGATTTAAGACCAGTCTCATTAAATTCATTCATGAACAGCAACGTTTATATGTTTTAATTTTATGTATTATATATGTTAAAGGTAATTGTCTTTATTACTTTCTATTGTAAATTTTATTACTTACTTATTACTTTTTTTATTGTATTTTTAAATTGATATTTGTATATTAGGGTTTCCTGTTTAAATAAATATCTCTCTATTTAAAAAAAAAACATGGGTGGATTTATATAACTATCTATATCATTGACCCCATCAAACCACCAGGCTCACAATGTTGCCATATTATAACCTATCATGTGCCTCTGTCAGTGGCCTGTCATTTTAAACAGGCACCCATTTTGTTTTGAATGCCTATTAACATTTGCGGGTTAAAGGTTTAGGTATTTAAAATGTTTTTGAATTTTCAAAAACATTTTTGATTGACTGATTAGTGAATTATCATTAGCAACACCAGTAAAAGTCAAATTTTTAGGTATATAAATGGTTTAAAATTTTAATTTACTAATTTTAGTAACATAGAAACAGCATTTTTAGATGTAATATATCTGATATTGTTTCCCAATATTTAATTTACCAAAATTTGTAGAAAATTATATATATTAGAGATGAATTTTCTGTTAAATAAAAAAAGCTCTAGTTATGATTTGACTAATAAATATTGGGTTAAAAAAAATCCTCATTGTGAGTGTTTTGTAAAAAACAACTCACCACCCTGGAATTAATGATTTTTTTAGCTTTCATTCAGACAGTTCCTTTATTAAACCAAACTATGAAGCACATAAGTAATAATAATAACAGTAACAATAACATAAGTAGCAATATATTACTCTCTATTTTAAGCAATTTTTAAGATGTCTTAATATTATATACGGACGCGTCCAAATCAGCTAATGGCGTAGGCTCTGCTTTTTTTGAACCTAAAGAGCACATAGAAAAAATCTTTTAAAATTAGACAAGAATGTTCCATCTATACTGCGGAAGCTGAGGCTATCTATGAAGCACTTATTTACGCCTCTTTCCAAACATTTTCAGAAAGAGACCAAACCGTGCATATTATTTGGATTAAAGCTCACATTGGGCTAAAGCACAACAAACATGTACATTTGTTGGCTAAAAAGGCTCTGTAACAGGTTCTAATACGTCATACAATTTATCTGTTTCTGATGTTACTGTTACTGCAATAATAAAAAGATATCAATTCAATAAATGGCACTACTTGTGGCAGGAATATTGTTTCACAAATCCAACGAAGTATACGACTCTTCAGTTAAATATTCCTAAGATCCCTTGGTACAAACATTATAAAATACCGCGAAAGTACATATCGACAATTATTAGGATGAGATTTGGTCATCCTAGCCATTTATACAAAATTAAAGTCTCTGAAAGTGACCAATGCGAGACGTGTAATGAAAAAGGAGATCTAGACCATATCTTCTTTAATTGTACTAAAAACAAAAAATTATCTGCTTATATGCAAAAAATGCTCCCCTTGGAATATCCAAAGTTTACTGTCCTCCAATTCCACAAACATTTATGACTGCTTGATTCAATTTTTAATGGAATCAGGTAACTGTTTGTGATTCGTACTTCTCTTAGACTCGTTACTTTTGTTGTCTTTCCTATTGTTTTATTTTACCCCTTTACCGTGACCTAGTGTATGTCTGTTTTTGTTTTGATGCCTTGATGGGTCCCTAGGCGAGAAGCGAGTGTCTCCGTTTAATCCTCTTGTTATTTGAAATTAAATATTTAATATTTCATTTATTATTTGTTTGTTAATTTACCTCTTCCATTTTGTATGACAAAGAGTCTATGCCAAAAAAATACTTTCCCCACTTCGTTTAGTTTCAAATCATCTTACCTAAGTAATCTTCTTTCACATAAATATTGAAAATACTATAAAGTTTATTTCGTACAGGTAAAATCCGCGAATTTCCAACGATATCCTATCTCATTTCCCTCGTAATACTAATATTTTGCATGGCTTCGCGCACTCGACCACTATAACCCAATTCTATGGATGTAAAGTAGGTCGCCGACCCAGATTCACATTTCAGAAAAGTGATTGCCCCGGCGACGCAGCAATGTTGATGGACTTTCTTGTAGTGTCGGTGAATCCAAGTACACTGACCCCCTGATTTCACTGTCGTACCATCTCCTTGTTGGCGACCTTTCGCCACAGGGACGATGCCCCCCTGAAAGAATACGATCCGATCAGAGATAATATGTGTGCTATGTTTGGAGGCGTGTGCCGATTAATATTATTATTGTTGGTATTTGACGTACAGGGCGAATCTCCGAACCACAGATCAAATATAAACTGATTAAAAAGATATTCATAATATGCAAGAAGTTGAAGATCTGAAAGAATTAGAAAAAAGTCTAGTCTCTTCCAGTGACTCAGAGGAAGGAGACATAGAAACTATAAAGTACATAGCAGATGTCAACAAGGATCTACGTAATCGTCATTCAATGCAATAATTTCATCACACTCGGCCGAAAAACAAGAAGGTGTCGACTAAAGTTAGTCAGAAGTCGAATAAATCTAAAGCTCACTACAACCCAAAGACAAGAAGTTCCAAGCAAATAAAGAATTAAATACTGAATTTGACTCGTTACCAAGTAAATTTTATAAGCATTTTTCTTTTTTCTATTTGGTTTAAGAATAACATTTTTACCTTGGTGGAATAGTATTCCATAAAAATTATTTTATTTTATTTTCCTCTGTTCAGATTAGGTTTAAAAACATGGAGTTTAAAAATTTGTGCATTGGCCATTGGAATACTCGGTCATTATTTCCTAAAATTAATTTTGTCAGGAATACAATTGTAAATAAAAACTACGATATTCTGTATTACTGAATCGTGGTTGAATAAAAATATATCTGATGATTCTATTAAAGTTGCAGGATTCAGATATGGAAAGAATGTAACAATGTTATAGATTTCCTAAAAAACCTTTCTGTTACCTGTTTCAAGAGGCATTTATTCGTGAATATTTTCAATGACCAATGCACAAATTTAGGAATTCAGAAATTTAATTTAGTAACTTAGGAATTCAGAAATTTTGAAATGCAGGAATTTAGAAATATAAAAATTTAGAATTAAAGTATTTTAACCACGCGCTGCATAAATCTCCAAGCTCTTGCCGCGTACCGGAGCCATTTCTCAGCTGGCACTAGGGGAGAGAGAGAGATTTTACCAGCAGCCTATGTGAGCAACAGAGATGGGGACATTTTACATGTATTTAAACATTAAAATCAAGGAATGTTCGTGCTAGGCACAGCGCCGATAGCTGTTCAGATAATCGCGGTTTCTCGATAATATCGATTGTTGACTGAATTAATCAAATTTCTTTACCAGCTTTTAAGTTTTTCGTTACGTTACGAAGTATTAGTGACGTTAATGTGTCTTTTTGTTTTCGATAAACTTGTTTAAATATCTTATTTCCTAGTTTTTAATTTATTGTGACAATGAATAAAATTGGCGTCTTAAAAAACTCTTTTAGTGGTTTTTCGCTAGAAGAAAAACTACAAATTAAAGAATTGGGCCGGCCAATTTCCGATTTTAAAATTGAAAAACAAAGTGGAAGTGGGCAAAAACTATTTATGATAAAAATAATTGGTTGTGTGGTTGCGACGAAACTAATAAACTGTTTTGTTCTGTATGTGTTTGGTTTGAAGGTGACGAGACTTGGTCAAAAAAGGCACAGACGATCTTGTCCATATATGGGATAAAATGAAATCCCATGAAAAATCTAAAGTGCACATTTATAATGTTTTTAGCTTTTCCATGCTTGGCAAGTTAAATATGAAATATGAATTCGGCTTATCGTGATGCTCTAATGAAACACAATCAACAAGTGGATAAGAATCGATATGTTTTAAATCAAATTATAAATTGTATAAGGATTTGTGGAGCCTTTGAGTTAGCTTCAAGGGGGTCACGATGAGAAAGATAATTCGGAATGTAAAAGCATATTTAAGGAGCTGGTGAATTTTAGCGCCGACTTAGACAACGACTTAAAGGTTTATATTTAAAGTTTTCAAAGGTACCAAACAACCCAAAATAAACTTCTTGAGTTGCAGTGATTGCCGATGAAACGACGGACGTTCCTTGTGAATTTCAATTAGTTATAGTTTTCAGATATTTGTGTAAAGGACGACCAGTTAAAAGATTTTGGAGGTTTTACATGCTTGATGGACACGACGCTAAATCAATCGCTGAATGCATTTTAAATATTTTACATCCAATATTAAGACATAGTCCAAATAAATTAATTGCTCAAAGCTATGACGGCGCGTCTGTAATGAGTGGTGGATAAATGGTGTGCAAAAAATTATTAAAGAAACATATCCTCTTGCAAATTACGTTCATTGCTATGCACACCAGATGAATTTAGTTATGACAAGTGCATGTTCTGTCAATAAACAGGCTAGGATATTTTTTTCTAATTTTTCTGGTTTGTGCTATTTCTTTTCCACTTCTCCTCAAAGAACAAAAATTTTGGATGAGGTAGTTAATCGCAGGTTGCCAAGATCTTCCCAAACACGTTGGAATTTTTAATCGCGAGGTGTTCATTCTGTTTATAAGAATAGAAAATACCTCATTACAGTTGTGGACATTATAGAAAATACTTCACGCGATTCGTCGTCTATTAATCAAGCAAGTGGGTAAAAATTAAAACTCCAGGATAAAAATGTTATATTTTGGTTAAGTGATTTTCATCAAATAATGCCTCACGTGGAAATTATTTTTAACCAATTAAAAAAAGTATGCACAGATTCTGTTATGGTCAAGAAAGATTTGGAGAATTTCGAAGCAGCAATTCAAGTTATACGGGAACAAATGGACAGCATTATTGATAATATTCAAGGAGAAATAAACACGTCGGAAGGAGAAACTAGTGAATCAATAAAAAAAAAGGCACAAATTGAAGAGAACAGCAGAAAACGCGAAGCCTTAGAAATATGCGATGCCGTTTTATTGCAAATAAAAACAAGGTTCAACTTCTCTGGGCATTTGGTCGTTTCTAATTTATTTATGTTAAAGAAATTTTCGGTCTATAGGCATTAGTTTCCCGAATCATTCATCAATGAAACATGTATACAATTTTAATTTTTAGACAAAAATATGCTTAAAAAATAATTATAAGTATTGTATCAGAGCTGTTAATTGTATTAAATGAGGAAGGTTTAAATTGTACATTTCAGAAAACTCTTAAACCTTTAGGTATTTTGATAACAATACCTATGTCAACATCTGAAGTAGAGCGCTGTTTTTCAATGCTCAAGCGAATTAAAACATTCTTCAAAAATACAATGAAGTAAAAAAGACTTAGTGCTTTAGGTATGTTGTCCGCAGAGAAACATTTTGTAAATGGAATTGAACATTTTAATAATAATGTAATTGAAAACTTTGCAACCAAAAACACTCATAACACTATCAGTTGCCAGTTCTAGGCCATTCGTTACACGTCGACAACGTCAAAAAACCAACAACATCAGCGACCTCTTGCACTGGTTGTAGTTTTATTGAAGGGAAATTAATATATGTACAGATCAATATAGAAGAGTAAGAAAGTGTTATTTAAATGGACTACCAAACAAATTTTCCTATTAAGTTACACATCTCTGTTGTTTCTGCTACAGCCTTCAACTTCCTCATGGACGCGGTTTTCGGCTTCTTTGTGCCCCTCGGCTTCTTACTTTTCACCACAAACTTTTCTAGAAAGTTTTTTCACTTTTTTAATTTGACTATTACTCTTTTTCTTTTTTTAATACAGGTATATTCTATTACAAACATTTAATTCCAAAATTTCACTTATATGATTTCATTTGTTCTCTTTGTTTTAGTAAATATTAACTTAGTAACTGATATTTCTAATTTAAATAGTCCAAAAGTGTAATAACCTTTGTTTTGGCTATAGAATATTAATTCTGTACAAAGTAGAAAGTAAGTATATGAGTGTATTGAAGTTTATTGATATATTTACACCGTCAACAATCGATTTGAAAGTCATTGCACTTAGATGTTTATTTTTATTATTTTTTTAGAATGTATCTGGATCACTTTTCCGCATCAATTTTTCTCTAAACTACTTATTATTAAAATAAGGTGAAATTTTCAACAGCAGTTTGTTATTGATTTTTTTCAACGTAGAATGTATGTTACGACCCATTTTCCCACGAGCTGGCGCTTACTACATACCGTGTGCACTTTCGCTTTGTAAACTAACATCAAAACAGAATAAAAATGCAAGTTTCCATAAAGTTTGTTCGTCTATTTTTAAAGTGAAAGAGATTTGTCGTTATGCTAGTTTTATTTTTTTTAACGTGTTCCGTTTCTCTTCATTTTCTTCTTTCAATGTTTTGGAAAACAATTCGATATACGTGATGTGCTGATATTTATTAGCTATACCTAAAATAAACAAAATATATATATATCCGTATATACCACATACTTTGATTTTCTTTTACTATACGGAGAATGGTCGCACTGCGCAGCTTTCTGAGTGCCTTTTAAAAGGAGATAGAAAACTCCGCCATTTTGTTCCCTTATTACGTGTTGCCTACATCTTGGCGCAATATTTTGAATAGGTTCGTTTTAATCATCCGCTTCTGATTCGGAACTGTCGGTTTTCTTGTTTAAATCTGACAGGTTAAAACGACTAAACCGACAATTCCGGAAGCAGAAGCGGATGTGTTAAAATCTTTATTTTAACTACAAATAAGCATTGGTGGATGAGGTATAAATAAAATAGGTACTTCTTAAACCTGTACTATGTAATACAAATTAAATTATTGCACTCATTTCTTCTCTAGACTATAGACAGTCACAATATTTTTTTTCTGTCCTAAATATGTTGCGGATAAATTTTCTTTATTTATTTTCAATTGATTACCTACATTCAAACCCAAGAGCCGCCACTGAAATATGTTGAAACTTTAAACATAAATCAATTAAAATACATACGAGACGGCTATGAATAAATTACTTATCTGTCAAAAGAAAACTTTTATTAGGCCGATCAGATGTGTTAAAATCTTTATTTTAACTACAAATAAGCATTGGTGGATGAGGTATAAATAAAATAGGTACTTCTTAAACCTGTACTATGTAATACAAATTAAATTATTGCACTCCTTTCTTCTCTAGACTGTAGAAAGTCACAATATTTTTTTTCTGTCCTAAATATGTTGCGGATAATTTTTCTTTATTTAAGTTATAATCCTAAATTATGTAATAACTAAAAGTTTTGATCTGATATACTATTATCAGTCACTCCACTATCCGAGAATTAAAATGTAATAATTATTTATGTCATTGCCACCTTTATCGCATTATTATATTATCTCAGGATAGATGAGAGGAGTGTGGCAATTTTACAAATATTTCCAAAAAAAAAAAATTAAGCAACGCTAGTATCTAAACATTCGATTTGTTTTAAATCATACAGATACGAATAAGTATTTATAATTAATCTTAGGAAAAAAATTATCAGAACATGTGCTGTTCGTTAGATCGCTCTAGAAAACGAAAAAATAGGTCAATGCCAATTATGTTGAGATCGCGGTAAAAATAATACCATTAACTTTATCAGAGCTAATTGAAATAGAGATCAACGTCAAGGATACGTTATATAAATAAAATAAATTAATTAATAAATATATTCCGTTCAGGGTTGAATAGATAAAATGAATTAGGTCAAACAAGGCAGTTTTTATAGTACAATCAATCTGAAGAATTAACTCAGTTAATATACGAAAAATTTTAAAAATTACCTACAAATAAAAATTTAAATAGTAAATTATGCAACAAGTGCAAAAAGTAAGTGTTTTGTTTTTAAAGTACTACCATACGTATGAATACGCTTGATGTACTACCAAATATATTCGTGAAAATGTCCGCCTTATAAACGTATATTTTTTTTATTTTTTATACGTCTAACATTACTACTTTATCTATATTAGATTTATTTTACATATATTTGTATAATTTTTATTAATGTGTAAAATGCGTCTACCTGATATTGTGTTAAATGTATTTCAAACACAAATTAAATAAAGTGATCAAAACAAAATTTCTAAAAGAGGCCATGGAAAAATGTTAATATTTCTTAAATGACAGTTTGGATTTCATCCATAGAAGGTGTGTATACACCAGAAATAGGTATTACTCGTGTTTCTATTTTGGTTGTAATTGGCCTAAATATTTAGGAATTTTAACCACTTGTTATATGTACAGATCAATATTTTATTAAAAAAAAATAAACAATAAAATACTAAAAAATAAACACTAAAATACTGAATAACAAACTAAACGATACTTTTCTTTAACTAACAAAAAATATATATGAAAATTAAAATCTTAGCTTAACACTTTGGATGTGTTGTGTCCTAGACGGGCCTTAGCTAACTTAAGCCAATCTTGCATGGCACACCTAATCGTTTACCCCCATTCCTATAACCAAAATGTAACTCAATTTCAGGTGAAATATTTTCTAAAAGCTCCGAAGTTAAATTTGTATTATTTTCTTGGAAATTATTATAAATAATAGAATCAGATGATATATTAATGTCAGAAGCTTTATTAATGTTATCTTCATTGGGAATAAGAAAAATTTGATTTGACTTTAAAGCATCTTGAACATTTTGTGCAATTTTTCTACGTAGATGACGCCGAGATAGGGTTATTTTAGACATTTTATAAAATAAAAAACAACTGACCAAAAAACAGGAAAATAAGTATACTTGGAATAACTATAGGTGGCCTAAAAAATTACCTATAAAAATAAGAGAAACAAAAGTAAGGTTATGTTTTGGAGTTTCTATAAGCCTTTTACAAACTGTACCTACCTATAAAACAGTAGGTAGTTGTTGTAAAATGCAACAATTAATTAAGGAGTAGCTAAATTAAAACATTAATAGAAACTTACATATGCTTTTAATCAATATCGTAAAAGCCAGGACGCCAAAGCAACATGCAATGCAAAATAACGTGTACACAAAAGAAAATGGACGAACCTGCTGTTACAAAGCATTCCCTACACTGAAAAATAATACATACGCATGAGTAGAAATGAGAAAAGACCGTACCACTAGTACCTACGTCATCCTCCATCCGCCATCTAAAAATAGTTCCGTGTGTATGGGGAATTTGTTATAAATATTGCAGGTAATATAATTAAAAAAATATGGATGTAATGTAAATAAATATATCTATAAGCTTTTAATTTAAATAAACCTAAATATATACATATTTTTTACTTCTGTCTACTAGTTCATCGTAAACTGGTAATATGCATTTAAGGTGACTTATATTTAAACGTAGAATAATATAGGTATATTAACTAGTATCAACAAACAAAAGCGTTTAATTTATCTGTTAAAAAACGTTAAGTATAAAAATGGTAGATGGTAAACGTTTAAAAAATCAACCAAGACGAAATTTAAACGGGAATTATAAACGAAGAACACATATTGTAATATTATGTAAATTTATACGAATTTAATTTAAATAAACCTAAACGTATATTTAGTCGTATATTGTTAACTATATTTAAACGTAGAAAAATTTACAATTATATACCATAGGATGTATACAAAAAACGTATAATATATCGTTAAAAACACGGTATGTATAATAATCGTAAACTGTAAACGTATACGGAATCAACCAATACCAAAATTAAACGATTATTACGTATACAATACGTTAGTTATACTAATGTGTGCTGCCTGGATAAGATGTGCGTTTACTTCGACATTCTGTGTGTCGGTTTGTTCGTTGGCTTGGTTCTGTATAACAAAAAAAACTTCGACACAAGCTGATTTTGGCCTATTTTAAAAAACTGATTATTTAGAATAACTTGTATAGTGACTAACTAGCATATCTCACATCATTCATAATTGTTTTATATTTTACTTCTTACTGAAAATCCTTTTCAAAACTAATTTTCTATTATTCTCAAATACAATAAGAATTTCAAACAATTTCTATT